ATTGATTATCTTTATAAGATTGTTAAAACAATTGATAGCACATATTATTAGCAAATTTTTTTAAATAAATTGTTTTTTTCACTTAAGGTTGCTTGCCGAAATCCCTTAGTGACTGTCTAAATTCTGTCAAAATTATAATAAACTATTAGTAAATAACCCATCGAAATTCTGACGAATTTTGAAACCCGTCGTAACCAAAATTATGTCGAAATTCTAATTAACAATTAGTGTGTAACTTGTCAAAATTATGACGATATTTTTCTGAAAGGATTTAGGCAAGCATTCTTATTCTCACTAGATTTATATAATTTAAAACTAAATAATATTATTTTTTAACAGAATAATGATCCTAAAAAATACTATGAATAAAATAAAGAAGTAGTTTGCTAATAATTATATGACTATCTTAAACTGATCACTATAGTTATCTGATCTAAATTCTATCAAAAATCTTTGGTGAGAATGGATCTTTGTCTTTGTGATTTTTTTGAATATAATTATCAATAAGAATGATTTATGAAAAATGATAGAGGTATGGGATAATATTGATATTGATTATTATATTAATTTAATTAATACAATATTACAAAGAATTAATGATATAATTAAAATACAGAGAGATTATATGAGATAGTAAAAATAATATTTTATATAATTTTTTATCCAGTTATTATTTTTTTAATAAAATTTTAAATGAAAAAGATTTTTATTTAAAAAATAATAAAAAATATATCATTATTTATGCAAATTAACAATTATTACTCATAATTAGATATAATAATATCAGATTATTTTTTTATTGAAATAACTAATAACTAATATAGTTTTATATATTATCATTTGCATATTTGTCAGATCTTTTGTGATTAAGAATTATATAATTAAAAATTGATAATGCAAGTAATGTGTTATTTTTGCATGATATTGTAAAGACAATTTTATTTAATTATATAAAGACTTCATAAAAAAAATTATAAATTATTGTAAAAAAACATTGTAAAAAACAAATATATTTTCTTAAACATTAGCACCTCTGATTTCTTAATATTCTTCACTATTAATATCATTCAAAATTAAAACTTCAGAATTATTATTTTTATCTGTTAAATTTTTATTCAACACTTCATAATCAAAAACTAAATTATTCTCTACTCCATCCATTTTTATCAAGATATCACAATATTTAAATGCTTTTCTAATTAAGTGAGAATTAATTTCTTATAAATCTTTTACTCATTGAACTAAAGTGACATATAATATCTTTCAAATATGTTCAGTAAGTGTTAATTGATAAATTGTATTAATCATTCATTCATTATAGTAGTAACACATTTAAAATTTAAAAGTTTATTAAAATATACTTATATAATCAAATTATTTTAATATATCTTATACTTAAAGCTCTTGTTTATTATAATATCAAGAGACTGCAGTTTACTAGTTAGTCTATCTGGAATAACTGTGAGATGAGTATTTTTTCTTTGAATTATTATTTAACAGATCCTATCAAATGATCTCTAAAGAAGTTCAAAATGAGAAGAGATTATGGATTTCTAAATTTATTATGTTTAGTTCAAATATTATTAATTTAATATTGTATTTTGTGCTTATTACACCATTCTTTTTTATTTATTCTAATAATAATATCTTAAAAAAACATTTCATGAGAGATGTTTTTCAACTTATAAATACATATAGCCAAAAGTTTCTTTTTATCTATAAGACATCTAAAAATTATAATAAAACATGCTTTTATATTTAGTAATTTTTTATCATCTTAGTATCATATTTTTCAAGAGTAACTGAATTAGACATATCAAATGATAAAGATATTTCATCCATATTTCTGATATATTTAATAAGATATTTATTTTTATGATATTTGAATAAAATAAAACTTAAGAATTCAATTTGTTTCTCAACAAGATTTATTAGAAGATACTGTATGATTGTTATATATTTATGATTTGAAAAATTATTACAATTCATAAACTGACTCAACTAGCTTTTGGAAAATTTAAAGTTAACAATATCAGAATAAATATTTTTAATTTTATTAGTTTTGATTAATACTTGAATCTTTCTTATTACTATATTTTAGGTGACTGTATTCTGTATATTCTTTGATTCACTAAACAAGCTTTTCTTTTAACAACAAATATTGTACTAACTAATTATAATTGAGTATTAAAATATCAAATATAGTATTCAAAAGCTCTTGTTGTTTATCTCATCAGTCATGAACCTATTTCAGTTTGATTCCAAATTATTTTGCAGTTACTCTCACATTTTGAGCATATCTAAAATAACAAATAATCATTAGTTTTTCTTTAGCACTCCATGAATGATGACTTTTATTAGTAATACAAGTTTTTTTTTAATATTATTTTTTTGTAGAGACATATTTTACATTTTAAAAAATTCGTATATACTTTGAAAAGTTATATATGTATATATATATTATTACACATAAATTATGAATTTTTTTATATTAATCAAGAAGTATGCTATATATTATATATGAGTCATGGAATTCATGAAATTCATAAGATATTCTCTCAAGATTAGAAAGCAAGAGGAAACATCAGGCGATGAAAAAAACAAAAATAATAATAATAAATTCAACCAACAGGAAGAAAGAATATGAAAGAAAGAAAATGAAAAATGATTGGAAATAAATCATCTTCAAGAAAAGTAAGAAAGAAATATTAAAGAAAAAAATTAGCGAAGAAAAATATTAAGAGATAAGAAAAATAACTGATATATAAATCATACAATCTTATATGCATGAATTATATGATTTCGAGTTTACGATCCCTATATCACATGGATTTTTAATCACATTTTGATTAATTAGTGATAAATTTATCTGCAGCCAATAAGAGACTGAAGAAAAAATTGATATATGTACCTCTATTAATACAATATATTTCTCCTACACAAGTACTCTGGATATAAATATAAATTAAAAGAATACCCCAGATACACATGTCAGAAAAATATAGTATATGTATTTATATATTTATCATTATTTTTTTAGTAAATATTACTAAATTTGATTATCATATATTATAATCTTGGTTATTTATATAACAGATATTCTTATGAAATATATCAAATTTTCCACACAAACTGGATCATAAATTTTTTACTTATCTTGTAGTAATTCTTTGTTTGTGATAAAAATCAATACATATAAAATGTTACATATTCAGAACCAGTGTCACCTTCAAGCATATACTCTGACGAAGAAATAATAACTCATATCATGAGAGATATTATTAAGGATTATAATACTGAGGAACTTATCAATTATTTGGATAGGAATAATTTGAAACTTAAGAATTCCCATTTTGCAATTCTTCGTAAACAAGAAATAACTGGTTTGTCTTTTTTGGATATGATCAAGGATGAATTCTGTGAAATTGGATTTGCATTGGGACCAGCAAAGACACTCGCCAAATTTATCGAAGGGCTTAATGAAACAAAATTACAGAGTTTCTCGTTATATAACACATTAGATAAATTGAAAACACTACTTTGTAAATATAAGGTCAATGGTGAAAATATTACGTGTATAAAACAATTTAATCCAGGTATATATATTTCTTTTTTGTAAGAGAATACTTGTACTACTGAAGGCAGTTGACTAATGACACATATTTTTTACAGTTTATGAAGAAATTGGTGCTCTTAAACAATGTATGGAAGAAATTATATTAAGACTTTTGAATTTGGAGACTATACAAGACAGTAACAATAAAGCAACCCGCTGTGTTTTTATTACTTCTATCTTGAATGCATCAATAGCAATTACTCGAAACTTGTCAACAATGAAAAAATATATATTGCATACCAAGATGATGTGATGTCTCCGGTAAAGATTCCTCTGGACGTGTTGATTATTCAATCAAAGGGTGTGAAGATCTTATATGTATAGCAGAGGGGAAACCACGCAATGTTGAAATTGGATATCTCCAAAATATAAAACAACTGGAGAGCGCGAGCCATATGAATAAAAGGAAACGATCCACAGAGCAGGCATTTGAAAATGATGATGATTATCTTTACGGGATAGTTTCTACAGGTATAGTAAAGTTAATGTTACCCTGGTAACTGCTCCGCTAAAAATTCTATTACCCTGGTAACTCATATTATATATTTTTGATTATATCTTTTCTAGCTACAGGATGGCATTTTATTAAACTCGCTACGGAAGAGCTTTATTGTACCAGTAAAAGCGAATATCGGATTAATCTATCCAAAACGGCATTGAAGGAGGATCTTGAATCAATTAGAAAAGGTGTTAAAACGGTAATTGGATTGATCGTGGGGTTTCTTCTTATTGCGATCTTTTCTTTTTGTATTTCCTTCTTTCCTAGAAGTAAGCTGATCCAGAATAGAGCCAAATCTAGTCCAGATTTACTTGATTATTTATTTTATCTAAAGGCCATATCAAAATCAACTTTGTCTAAATCTCGCATAAATCCTCCTTACGTAAGTGCATATGATTTAATGTGTATATGCTAGTCTGAAAATCCAGACAAATATTCGTTTATTATTTATCGTTATTATTTCTCTGCCTCAAATATTTCCCACAAATTTTCTCGACTAATAAAAACACCAGAGAAATCGAGAAATCTACGTTTTTCTTCCAGAAAATTATTCTGAAATTTTTCTTTCCTATTTAATAGGATTACAATGTGTGACGAGCATAAAATTAAGAAACGTCGTATTCAAAAAATTATCAAATGATAGATATTTTTGTAATTGTATTTTATCATATATTATACGGCATTTATGTGCCCATATATTTTTGTATCAATAAAGCTGGCCCCAGCGGGATTTGTTATGTTGTACGTACGTATTGATACCGATATATATTAATCTGCATATATGATCGTGAATTTCTTTTAAGCGATTTACCGCAAGACCAAAAGTACACATTACTGTTTTTTTATAAATTCGCTTTTAAATACATCCGCTTCTGGTATAAAGCAATGGCAAACAATCAACTTGCAATCAATTCTTTGAGAGTATTGGAAGAACATGAAATCAGAATCACGAATCTAGAACAGATCGCTCGTGAACAAGCTGAACTTGGAGTTAGAATTGCGAAATTGGAACTGAAGCTGATATCTAAAAAAAATCGTAAATTCCAGAATAAATGTATTCAGATAGCTATGGAAATTCTTGATGAAGAACCAATAATTGAGTATCGCCCTCCTTTTTTGAATGGGTTAGAACTTGACGCCTTTTAAAAACATCGAATCGCATTAGAAGTTCAAGGAGCTCAACATCGGCTTCATAATACTGGCTGGTATAAAGACGTTAAAAAGCTCGAAGACATTGTTAATCGCGATCGTCTAAAAAGATGCATGTGTCAAGATAACGGAATTTTCCTACTCGAGGTATGGTATGATGAAAAGCCAGAAATCGTCATTCCGGAAAGAATACAAAAAATCAAGTGTTTCGTTAATCAGGCATCCAAAATTTTCGATCTATAAGTCAATTCATAATATATAAAACTTAATATCTAAATCGCAGATAAGTGTTTAATATATACCTCATAATTTTTCGTTACTTCATATAAATACGAAGGACCCGAAGCCTTCGCAAAGTAGTCTGAATTTCGATTTTTTCGTCCACATATTTAGCAATTAAAATTGGTAATTATTTTTTTAACATATTGTAAAATAACTCGGTATGGTAAAACTTTATTGATTTGCATTACAATTTTTACATTTCATAATACTGTATATAAAAAAGTGTAAAACATCAGGATCACGACGCGTGCCACAAAGTCAATATAATAACTACTATTCTCGA